CCCCGGAGACCGAAAATGGGAAGGAGCCTCCCATTCTGATTTTTTCACGACGCGAGGGGTCTGCCCAGGAGGCCCCCAAGAGGGGCCCAAGAGGCCCCCCAAAGACGACCCCGGGAGGGGGAAATCGCGGCACTGCTGAGCCGCAGGAGGCCAGCTTCCCCAATATGGCCCTAGCATCCCCAAGAGGCCCTCACAGGCCTCAAGACTCACACCAGCAAACCACAAAGACACGCAGGAGCACCCAAAGGAGCTCCCAAAGGGACCCCCCAAAAGCTCCTGGCGGGGGCCCTCCAGACACTCGACACGTGCGCAGCGGCGGGAGGGGCCCCTGCCGCCTCTCGCGATCAAACTGCTCTCTCCTCTTCCTCCTCCTCCTCCTCCTCCTCCTCCTCCTCCTCCTCCTCCTACCCCTCCTCCTCCTCCTCCTCCTCCTCCTCGTCTTCCTCCATCCTCCTCCTCCTCCTCCTCCTCCTCCTCCTTCCCCTCCTCCTCCTCCTCCTTCCTCCTCCTCCTCCTCCTCCTCCTCCTCTCCTCCTCCTCCTCCTCCCTCCTCCTCCTCCTCCTCCTCCTCCGCCTCCTCCTCCTCCTCCTCCTCCTCCTCCTCCTCCTCCTCCTCCTCCCCTCCTCCTTCCTCCTCCTCCTCCTCCTCTCCTCCTCCTCCACCTCTCCTCCTCCTCTCCTCCTCCTCCTCCTCCTCCTCCTCCTCCTCATCCTCCTCCTCCTCCTCCTCCTCTCCTCCTCCTCATCCTCCTCCTCCTCCTCTTCCTCCTCCTCCCTCCTCCTCCCTCCTCCTCTTCTCCTCCTCCTCCTCCTCCTCCTCCCTCCTCCTCCTCCTCCTCCCTCCTCCTCCTCCTCTCCTCCTCTTCCTCCCCTCCTCCTCCTCCTCCTCCTCCTCCTCCTCCTCCTCCTCCTCCTCCTCCTCCCTCCTCTTCCCCAATCGCTGCTCAGACCGCTTCGCTCGGCTGCCCCGATGCGCATGCGCAGCGCGTGGCGTATGGAGACGGAGCTCCTCAACTCGTGGACTGAACACGCACGCTTCTTGAGCACGTCCGCCTTGACGCGGCACGCGGTACCGAGCCTCAAAACACGTGCGCATTAGAGCAGCTACCCGCCGCTTCGGGCCCCCACAGGGAGGGGAGACCACGCCGGATCCCCGGCCCGCGCTCGCGTCAGATGCCCCGCCGCATACAGTCGGGACGTTGACCTAAGGAACCCTAAACAAGGAACGAGGCCCCTTTTGCCCATCAGTGAAGGCTCGATGTCCCATCGAAAACCTGGGGAAAACCTAGGGCAAGATGTGAAACAATCAAGGAACACGGAGCCCCTCTCCAACGAAAAGGGTTCCTTCTTCAGCGCCCCGACTGTACCCTTTATGTCGGGCGTGTCCCCCATACAGGGGGATTTTCGACGAAAAACAAAATACACCAAAAATACCCCAGGAAGATCAAACATGCTCAAAGAATAAATAGTCCCCCAACTATTGTTGGACTATGTTCTACCTATTTGGGAGGTATTTTTTATTTTGAAAATCCCCCTGTAAGGGGAAAGGCCCCACTTAACTGTACCCTCCCGATCCTCGAGCACGTCGCCCTCAGCGGCCTCGGGGAGAACCAGCTCCTGCGGGGACACGTCACACGGGGGAACCGGCTCAGGGGGGGACACGTCGAGCTCGAACCGACGAGCCATCGCCGATTGGTCGGCGCCGGGCCTCCAGTGGCGAGTCCGCACCTGCCTGGCCCCTGCAGGCCATCCACGGGAGAGCAGGGCTCGGTGCGCCCCCCCCCCCCCCCCTCTGAGCCTACCTTCCCCCCCGACGTTGCCCCTGAAGTCCTTGAGGCTCAGCTCGATGAAGTTCGCCGCCTTGCTGGCGAAGGGCTTCACCAGTGACGTCTCCTTCTGCGGCAACTTTGGGGGCCTCACAGACCATACCCTGCTGGCTCTTACGAACCTACGCTCATCGACGCTAGTCGACGCGAATCGACGCTAGTCGACGCTTATGGACGAGAAATCGGCACTATCTCATCGCCTACCGGACGCTATCGACGCGAACGCACTCCAAAGGCGGAATTGCGAGTGGATGGAAGGCTCCCACGACTTGCCACCGACGTCTCCTTTGGACGCCCGAAATGTGTTCGGAGAAGATGGGTACAATGCCCAACAGCACATGTTGTCCCAAAGCAACAGCGGCCGCTGTCGGGCAGGCGGCCTTCTGTCTCGAACGGACACAGGCCGCGGCGGCGCGGACAGCGAGTCCTGCTCAACATGAACAGGAGCTGCTGCTGGGCACTGTGCCCCTTCTTTCCGTACCCATTTCTCCCGTGCCGAATCATGGCTTGCTGCCGACGTCTCCGTCTCCAGGGCCACCGAGACGCGCACCTGGCCCCCGGAGCCGGGCGCCCGCCAGCCCGCCTCGGGGGGGTGCGCCGCGTCGGAGGCCGCCGCGGCCCAGACGTCGGCCTCGTCGCCCGAGTGGAGCGTCGGCCCGAGGCACCACCTGGGCCGGAAGGGGAGGAGGAGGAGGAGGAGGAGGAGGAGGAGGAGGAGCAGGAGGAGAGGAGGATGGGGAGGGGGAGGAGGAGGAGCACGGGAACGCCCAGAGCGCTGCATGAGCTCGCCTCCCGAGAGGGCCAATGGCGTGAAGAGCGCTCTCGGGGGCCTCATTGGGCCGGCTGGGGGCGGGAAGGGGCGTCGCTGCCCAGGCGTGCCCGCGCTTCGCCCCCCCTCCCCCCCCCAACCCACCCCACCCCGCACTCCCCCCCCTTGAGGGCTTCCCCCCTTGGACTCCCCCCCCCGTCCCACCCCCTGGACCCTCCCCCCTGGACTTCCCCCTGGACTCCCACCCCCCCCCCCTGGACTCCCCCCCTTGAAAGCTTTGCCCCACCAGAAAGTCATCACTCGTATCTCGCTTTTTCCGTCACCTGCTGCAGTAAGCCAACGTGCTTGCACGCAGTGGGCGTGTTAGAATGCTTCTCGGTTGTCTGGTGAAGTGTTTCTTGGTCGTTTCTGGAACCGACCTCCCGGGCCCCCCCCCTCGCACCGCGCACCAGTCTGAAATCGCCAACTCCGAATTTGCTCTCCGGAATCCAAGAGGCCTCTGGCCTTTCTGCTCGCCCTTCTCTTCTTTCTCCTCCTCCTTCCTTCCTTCCTCCTCCTCCTCATCACCATCCTACTCTTCTTCTTCCTCATCCACCAATTCCCCCTCCTTGTTCCTCCCTCCTCCTCCTCCCCCTTTTTCGTAGTGGGCGAACTTAGGCTGTTTGGCTGGATCAGTCGTGCGTGAATAAACAGGTCGCCAAATTATGCTATGCGACCAATAACTAAAGCCGCGGACACCCCCTCCCCCTCTCCCTACTCATCTTCCTCCTGCTCCTCCAATTCCTTCTCCATCCTCCCCCTCTTGGGATATGACGTATTACCCAGCTCTTTCTTCCACCGCATGCTCCTCCACATCCCTGATCAGGACAACACGTCTGGACATCGTTTCTGGATGGGGTGGTGGAATTAAGCGAAGCGCCTGACATAAATACATACCCTGAGACATCCTGCTGCAAGAAGTCTAAGGGCACACTGTTCGGTCGACCTTGGACCTCGCAGAGTGCGTCCACAACTCCCACCAAGTGTCAGGAGACCTCGAGGCATGAGAGAAGTCCGTGGGGCGCTTGCCAGCGGTCACATCTCTTGTCGGGCACGCCCACTGCGGGCTTGTTCCCACGGCGATCGAGGACCGAGGATCCACGATCGTGGGCCTTCTTTTTGTTGCACCTTGCAGTGAACCTCGGGGGACTCCCGGAGGCCTGTGGTGGCCCAGGGGCATCTCCGGACCTGCCCCTGGCGGCTCCCGTGGGCCAAGGACCGGGGGGGGGCGCTAAGACCTACCAGGGCCACCTGGGCGATGAAGAGAAGCGGGCCTTACGCGAGATGACAGAGCGATTTTACGCCGCGGCTCACGCGGGCCGCCAGCGCGGCACGCCACCCCGGAGACGAGGATGCTTACGCGCGACCTTACGCGGGCAGCTGCGGCGCCAGTGTCGGTGAAGACGACCCTGCTTTTTTTCTGCGTTGCTCACCTGTCCTTGCCCAGCCGGTAGATGAACGCCGAGAAATCGCCGTCCGCCTTCTCAAAGTACGGCCAAGTCCCCCCCGCGAACTTCCTGCTGTAGGTGCCGTTGCCGTGCACGGCATCCCCGCTCAGGTCGGACACGGCCACTACGACGGACGGGTCGCACCACAAACCGCGATGGGAGCTGTACAGGGCAGAGATGGGGCCGCACCTGGAGTGCCCGCCCGTCGGAAGAAGTAGGTAGAAGCATGAAGTGGGAAGGAGGATACAGTAGATTGGGTCCGGGCCCGCCCATAGCGTAGCAACGAACAGCAAAGACAGATCGGTCTTTGAGGTAGGAACGCGCTTGCAGTAGATTGTGATCTGGGAATCCAGAAGTACACGTCGTTCATGTCTAATCTTGCTCAGATCTAATTGTGCTCGTTTCTAATTGCTCCTGGCCCCCCCAGTGGCCAGAAAGAGGCCCAGGATGGAACAATTAGAAATGAAGGGATCTTGGGCCCCCAAAAAATCAAAGAACTCTCGAATACTTAGATATGAACAGTGTGCACTTGCTTTCGGCCACTGGCGCGTGAACAAAAACAGCCTAAACACATGACTGTCGGAGGGCCCGCGCGAAGTTCTTGAACTGGCGCTGGGCCCTCTCTGGCGTCTCTGGCGCCGCCCCCAGGCTCGCCTCGCGCGCCAGGGAGGGTCGGGGGGCCAGTGCCGACGCGAGAAATCCCAGCGGGGCTCCGAAAGTTTCTTGGTGAGCGCTTTTTTTTATTCGGCGCTTCGACAGTGGGCGGAAGGAGGGGGGAAGGGGGGAGGTCTGGCTCCGGACCTCTGCTTAGTGCGACTCTTTGCAAGAGCGCGGCCTCTGGGGGAAACTCCACCCGCTCGAAACAGGCGCCAAAAACAGCCAAGATCTACTCCATGGGGCGGGGGGAAGCGGGATTTTGAGGCCCGCGCCGTTCGGCAACACAATGAATATATATATATATATATATATATAATAATAATAATAATAATATTAATAATAATAATAATAATGATAATAATAATGATAATAATATTAATAATAATAATAATAATAATAATAATAATAATAATAATAATAATAATAAAATTCTTGCTAATAATACAAATAATAATAATAGTAATAGCGATAATAATAACGATGATAATAATAATACTAATAATACGAATAATAATAATAATGGCAATGATAATAATCATATATAATATAGATATATATATATATATAATGTATATGTATGTTTTATAGCACTTGTTATGTAGTTGCTTTATCACTCGGCGGCAAGCCTCGAAGGAAGCGGGCCTTCTCTCAGAAGGCTCGGAAGGTCCCGGCCCCCCTGAGAAAGTTTCTGAGCCTTCTCTTAAGTCGGGCATGTCCCCCTACAGGAGGATTTTCGACGAAAAATAAAAAAAATATTAGAAAAATGCTCCAAAATGGCCAAAACAAACTCAAAAATAGTCCCCAGACTATTGTTTGACTATTTTTGAATCAACTCCCCCTGTAGAGGGACAGGACCGACTTAAGCCTTCTCCGATCACAGAGGCCGCTTCTAAGAAGTCCAGAGGGCTCCCGAGAAGGCCTCCTCTTCCCTCGCTTCCCCCCCCCCCGAGGCTCGCCGCCGGGGGGGCCGGCTTGTTGTGTGCAGTTTCGTTGCTGCTCCTCAGGCACCCCTGCAGCTCCGGCGAGATGCTGGGGCCAGGCCTGGCCGCGTGCCCCTCCGGGCGCGCCAGGACGCGGACGGCGACCTCGAGGTCGACGGACGCATCCACCTTTGGACGACCGAAAAAAGTACGGAACAAGTGGGTACACTGCCTCACTGCAGATGCTGTCCGAAAGCGACCGCGGCCGCCATTGGGCAGGCGACCTTCTGTCTGCAATGGACAGCGTCCGCGGCGGCGCGGACAGCGAGCCCTGCCCAAAACAAGCAGGAACTGCCGTTGGGCATCGTACCCGTTGTTCATTTCTGATCGTGCTCATTTCTATGTGTGCTCGTTTCCGATTGTTCCTGGCCCCCTAGTGGCCAGGAAGAGGCCCCGGATAGAACAATTAGAAATGAAAGGAACTTACAAATGAACAGTGTGCGCCCATTCTTTCGGTACCCATGTCGATCGTGAAGAGGAAGAGGAGGAGGAGGGGGAGGAGGATGAGGAGGAGGAGGAGGGGAGGGGGAGGGCGAGGGGAGGGGGGAGGGAGGAGGAGAGAGGAGGAGGCGCTCCAGGATCGAGGAGGAGCCGCTCCACCGTGCGCAGCAGGCGGCCCGCCTCGTCGGCCGGCGGCGCCAGCGGCAGAGTTCTCCGCACCGGGGCGGGCTCCCTGCCGGACAGGCAGCAGCGTCGGGGGGCCAACAATCTAGGGGGCCACAGGCGAACCCTGGCCATTGCTCGGACGTCCATTCCCTGTGTTTTTTTCGGTTTCGTGCGTGGTTGTTTCGCTACATGATCAAGGATGCTCCTCGATGGTCCTCGCCAGAAGGAAAAATGCACACGTCCGAGCGATGCCAAGAACCCTACCCCTACCCCCCACGATTTCTGAAAGGGAGGGTAAGGTTCACTTCGCTCGGGAGCTCCCGAACGAAGTGAACCCCACCCTCCCCCTCAGAAATCGTGGGGGGTAGGGGTAGGGTTCGCCATTTGGCCCCCTACCCAGGGGGAGGAAGCGAACGCGGGTGGGCCTTCTCAGCAGGCCGCGGGGCTTCTCTGAAGGAAGCCCTCGCGCCCTCTGAGCAGCTGTCTGGGCCCGTTTCCGAAGACGCAAAACACACTTCCAGGACGGCGCGGGGGCCTCTGAGAAGCCCCGCCGCCCTCTGAGAAGCCCTGCTCTTTCTCACTTCCCCCGGGCGCGCCGCCGATACAAGGTGTCCGTGGCCCAAAATACCCCGCCCGATCTTCTGGCTGCATGTTGGAACCCCTGGGGCCCTCTGGGTCCCGAGAGGAAGGTACTCTGGAGGCCGTGGGGACATCCCTGGAAATCCTGGGGGCACTTTTTGGCCAGGGACGCTTCTAGCAAGACCCGAAAACCCACAAAAACCCGACGCCGTTGCCCTACGGACCCAGGGCCCGAGGCGACAGGGCCTTTTCCAGGAGGCCCACATAGAGGCGACGACGAGGCGCGGACATCGGCACGGTACAAAACTACGATGACAAAAAACGTGTCTTCATTGCGAAGGTCTTACGGCCGGTGCCGCCGACCCTGGAGGGCGACCCATGCGTTCTCGTATGTGGCGGGGGGGGCGTCGTATCTGAGTGGCGCCCCCCCCCCCGGGACCCCCCCGCTACCCCCCCCCCTCCCGGCGGGGGAGGGATCAAAGGGAAGGGGCTTCCCTTCGACTCAAATACGACGTTGCTGAAGTTCATTTGGGCTGGCGCGCTTGCGCAGGGGCCCCTGCTGGGAAAGAGGACGGGAGTGGCGACGGGCCCACGGAAAGGGAGGCGCAAGGAAGGGGGACGACAGAGACGACGACCAACGAACAACGGGGATGACGTCTCGAACGGAAAAGCCCCTCACACACGCCGACAGGGTCGGCACGGTACAAAACTACGATGACAAAAAACGTGTCTTTATTAGGCAGCATGGAGGGTCACTTCGTGACATATTCACCAGCAAGTGGTAAGTACGTATACTGCACTAGAGAGCTGACAAGTCACAAGTGCCTCGTTATCACGCCGCAGAGCGTGATCTACGATACGAAATCATGCATTCGTCGTCGGTCTTTGAGGGTTCGATGATGCCCTGAAGGTTCTGTGGGCCCGTGGGGCCACCCTGGAGGAAAAAACATGTCCGTGGGCACAGGCTGGCAGGCCGATTTCGTATCTGATGCGCCTACTACACAGGCGAAGACGAGGCGAGGACATCGGAATCGGCACGTTTCCCTTCTCTGGCCTGCTGTTTGCGAGCAGCCTGGCTAGCGACGGCGGCTCCACCTCCTCCACTGCGCCCCCGCGGGTCGATGCCTGGGAAGGCGCCAACTGTGCGCCCACACCGATCCTGGCCAGACCTACTCTACTCTTGGCCCATAACTCATCATCTTGGGGGTGCCAAAGCAGTGCGGGGACAAACCGCGCGGTGACTTCGGAATCCCCAACGACCTCACCGCACGGTGCGTCACCGCATGGTTTTGGAACCTCGGGGACACCAGTCGCCCGAGACATCCTCGGAGAACGACCCACGTCAAAAACCACTGCGGCTAACCAGAACCTCCACTGACTCCCTACACGGTGCGATCACCACACCGTCTGGGGGGCCCGATGAATCGGTTTATGTGTGTGCGTGCGTGCGTGGTTGTATGCAATTGTGCGTGTGCATGTGCGCTTGTGCGTGTGCGTGTGCGTGTGCGCGTGCGTATTCGCATCCGGATACGTATTCGTACGCGTGTGCGTGTGCATGTGCGCGTCCGCGTGCGTGTGCGTGTGCATGTGCATGTGCATGTGCATGTGCGTGTGCGTGTGCGTGCGCGTGTGCGTGTGCGCGTGCGTGTGCGTGTGCGTGTGCGGGTTCGTATGCGTGTGCGTGTCCGTGTGCGTGTGCCTGTGCGTGTGCGTGTGCGTGTGCATGTGCGTGTGCGCGTGCGTGTGCGTGTGCGTGCGTGTGCTCATGCGTGTGCGTGTGCGTGTGCGCGTGCTTGCGCGACTGCGGGTTCGTGTGCGTGTGCGTGTGCGTGTGCGTGTGGGTGTGGGCGTGGGCGTGGCGTGCGCGTGTGCGAGTGCGCGTGCGCGTGCGTGTGCTGCGCGTGCGTGTGCGTGTGCGCGTGCGTGTGCGTGTGCGTGTGCGTGTGGGTGTGGGTGTAGATGTGAGCGTGGTGAGCGTGGGTGAACGTGTGCGTGTGCGTGTGCGAGTGAGCGTGCGTGTGCGTGTGAGCGTGGGTGCGAGTGCGGGTGTAGATGTGAACGTGTGTGTGTGTGAGCGTGTGCGCGTGCGTGTGTATGTGTGTGTGTGTGTGCGTGTGCGTGTGCGTGTTCGCGTGCGCGTGCGCGTGCGCGTGCGCGCGCGTGCGTGTGCATGTGCGTGTGCGTGTGCGCGTGCGCGTGCGCGTGCGAGTGCGTGCGCGTGTGCGTGTGCGTGTGCGCGCGCGCTTGCGTGTGCGTGTGCGCGTGCTTGTGCGTGTGCGTGTGCGCGTGCGCGTGCGTGTGCGCGTGCGTGTGTGTGCGTGTGTGTGCGTGTGCGTGCGCGTGCGCGTGCGAGTGCGTGTGCGTGTGCGTGTGCGCGTGCGTGTGCGTGCGCGTCTGCGTGTGCGCGTGCGCGTGCGCGTGCGTTTGCGCGTGCGTGTGCTTGTGCGCGTGCGTGCGCGTGAGCGTGTGCGTGTGCGTGCGAGCGTGCGTGCGCGTGTGGGTGTGGGTGCGTGGGTATAGGTGCGTGCGTGCGTGGGTGCAAGGATGCGCGTGCGCGTGCGTGTCCGACTGGGTGCGAGTGTTCGAGCGCGCGCGCGCGCGGTCGCGGTCGCTGGCGCGCGCGCGCGTGGGAACGCCTGGCAGCCGGGAAAGCGCAATGGGCGCTCGCGGAAGGCGCCGCCGATCTTCCCACCGCAGTCGGATGCTGCGGCAAGCGCGCGGGCGGGAAACAACGCGCCCACCTCGGCCGGGCCCGCGCGGCCGCGGAGAGGCCGGGGGCCCCCGCGCGACCCCGCCGTCGCCCTTCCGAACGCCTCGAGCTCCGGGCATCTCTATAAGTAACTCCTCCACGTCGCACCACGAGGCCAGTCGCGAGGGCGGGCCTGGCGCTTCGACTGAGACTTCCTTGCCACATATGACCCTGCAGATTAAAAAATGACAACAATTCCACGGATTGGGGGCGGATCGCCCCCACAATGCGGCCCCTGCCTCGGCGCCGCGCGCATTCGTTTTCGACGTTGCAAGGACTTCGCGGACGGGGGGCGGAAGATTCTCAAAATGTGGCTCTCGCCTTAGTGCAGCGCGGATCCGTCTTCCAAAACTGCGAGAGCTTCGCAAACTGACGGCGGCCCCTTTTCAAAACGTAGCTCCCGCCATAGCACCGCGCACGCGCGTATTGAGCAATCGCAAGAGTCTCGCGCGTGGACGGCGGGCGATTTGAAACACCTGCAAGAATCTCACGAATGGAGGGCGGGTGGTTTTCGGTTTTCATTGGTTTCCACGGCTTGGCGACCGCCCCAGAAACGTTGTCATGGAACGAGTCAAGATTGCCAGGGCGCAACAATTGCGTTGAATCGCGGCGTTGACGTCCCAGGAAAGGTGTTCCGGCTGATTCAGGATCGTCAAGACGCAATTGTCAAGTTGATTCGCGGCGTTGGAATCTCGAGACATGCAGCTGTCTCCCAGCGGGGGGGGGGGATCTTGACCGCGAGTGGCCCTGCGCTTAGGCGCGAGTGATTGAATGATTGAGCGCGCGCAGTTGCGATCACGCCACGGTTGAGCGCGCGCCGGCGATCTCGCGCCGCCGAGCGCGCGCCTCGATTGAGCGCGCGCCGCTGAGCGCGCGCCGCGGTTGAGCGCGCGCTGCGGTTGAGCGCGCGCCGCTGGGCGGGCGCCGCGGTTGAGCGCGCGCCGCGGTTGAGCGCGCGCCGCGGTTGAACGCGCGCTGTTGAGCGAGCGCAGTCGAGCGCGCGTCGCGACTGGGCGCGCGCTAAGGTTGGGCGCGCGCTGACGCGCGCGCGCAAATGAGCGCGCGCCGCGGTTGAGCGCGCGCCGCAGCTGTTTTTTCTCAGATGGCGACGCGGCCAAACATTTGCACTCAACGAGCTGACTCGAGGGGGGCCCCACCATGGCTATGCAATACAGGGAAGGCGCGCAGCTCGCAGGTAGCGCGAGATTTTGCCCGGCTAGCCGGCCCAGCGCATGGCGCACTGAGCACGAAACTTGCCATGAACTCGCAAGCAAAATTTGACCTGTCCCAGACTGGGCTCGACTCTGGGATCGAGGGCGGACGGCCCCCGCCCGTCGCCGGCAAAACTCGGCGCGGAACCAGCCCCGATTAAGATTAGGCAGCCTGCGACGCCGCGCAGGCAACGACTGAGCGGCAAAGGCCCAAAGAGGACGGGGGCTTAGTTTCAGAGGCGCCCAGGGCAAAGCCAGAACGCACCGCCGGCCGCAGGCGGGCCAGGCCGTTGTTCGCCGGGGGCCGACGCGGGTCCATAGGGCGGGGGTCGAGCGAGCAAGACGGGCGCCCATCGCCCGAGAAGGCTCGGGGCGCGGGCGCGCCAGCGCCGATTCGAGCTCTCCAAAAGAGAGCAATGCAAACGTTGCCTGCCTGGGTGGCGAACGCGGCCCGAGCTGCCTCTGGCGGTCTCGGGGCCGCTGCCTCAGCAGGCGCGGCCCTCCGCCACTCCTTCCAGGGCCTCGCCGAGGAGGTCCTGGGCGCCGGGGCCAATGCAGCAGTCCTGCACTGAAAAGAACAAAAAAAAAAAAAACTTTGCGCCACGCGCCGCGCCGCTCGCGGAACGCGCGGGGCCGTCGCTCCAGCGCGCGCGTTTCACGCGCGACGCCCTCAACGGCCGATGCATCGAGCGCGCGCGAAGGTTGCGCGCGCGCTGCGGTCGATGCGTCGCGCGCCCGCAGCGCGCGCCCAGCCGTCGCGCGCGCTCAGCCACGGCGCGCCCTCAATCAGAGCGCGCGCTCAACCGCGGCGCGCGCTCAACCGCTGCGCGCGCCCACTGCGCGCGCCCAGAAACGCGGCAGTCTTCGAGCGCTCTGGATTCGTTTCCGCGCGCCCCGGACATCTTTCCTCCATGGCACCGCGCGCGCAGCGCGCGCTCGCAGCTGGCGCTCGCAGCGGGCGCGCTCAAAGCGCTCGCTCGACCGCAGCGCGCTCTCACAGCACGCCATCGCAGCGCGCGCTCACTTCGCGGCGCGCGCTCGCGGCTCACACTCAACCGCAGCGCGCGCAACGTGATTCTCAGGTCGCGAGCGCAAGCTGCGAGCGCCCGCCGCGCGCCCGCTGGCGAGGAAGAGAGCGAGCGCACGCTGCGAGCGCGAGCTGCGAGCGCGACGCAGTCTTCAAGCGCTTGCGCGCTGGATTTGTTTCCGCGCGTCTCGGGACTGCTTTCCCCATGGAGTGTTGCGTGTTCTCACAGCGTGCTCTCACCGCGTGCCCTCAGAGCGTGCTCTCAGAGCGTGCTCTCGCAGCGTGCTCTCGCAGCGCGCTCTCGCAGCGAGCTCTCGCAGCGTGCTCCCACAGCGTGCTCTCGCGGCATGCTCTTGCGGCGTGCTCTCACGGCGTGCCCCCGCAACTGGCTCTCGCAGCGTGCTCTCGCCGCGTGCTCGCACAGCGCGCTCTCGCAGCGTGCTCTCGCAGCGTGTGCCCACAGCGTGCTCTCGCACAGCGTGCGCTCAGCAGCGTGCTCTCACAGCGTACTCTCGCAGTGTGCTCTCGCAGCGTGCTCTCACGACGTGCTCTCGCAGCGTGCTCTCGCAGCACGCACTCGCAGCGTGCTCTCACGGTGTGCTTTCGCAGCGCGCGCTCAGAAGCTTGCTTTCACAGCGTGCCCTCACAGCGCGCATTCAACCACGGCGTGCGCTCATGAGCGAGCACCCAACAGCGCACGCTCAGCAGCGCACACCCGACCACACCTCGTGCTGAGCAGCGTGCACTCAACAGCGCGCGCTCAACCACAGCATGCGCTCAGCAGGGAACGCGCCACCACAGCGCGCACTCAACGACAGCGCGCGCTCAACCACAGCGCGCGCTCAACAGAGCGCACTCAACCACCGCATGCGCTCAGCATCGCGCACTCAGCAGCGCGCACTCAACCACAGCGTGCACTCAACAGCGAGTGCTCAGTCACTCATATTGAGGCGAAGAACCACTCACGGTTAGCCGCACTTCACTCAAGGTTTAAATATCGCCTCCACTGGGGCAGTTCCCTCAGCAGAAACAACGTACTGTCGCGGCATATGAGGGACCTTGGCGGGATATTTCAACATCGTTGCTGACTTGTGGGTTTACACTGGTCCTCCTCCTCCTCCTCCTCCTCCTCCTCCTC